TTAATATTTATTTTTATTTATTTAATATTACATTTGTAAGTATGTCTCTGTGTAGACATGCACACCAGTCCAGGAGTCAGAAGCCAGAGGTAAAGGGTCCACCAGGAAATAGAGTTAGAGTTGGTTGTGACTTTGTCACATAGGCACTGGGAACCTAATTGGGATCCTCTGCAAGAGCAGTATAGCATCGACAATCTCTGAGCCATCTCTCCAGCCCCTAGAACTCTATGTAATCATAGAGAAGATTTTAAAACATTTTAATATATACTGGAGCCTTTTTAAATGAATGTGTCTTCTTGTTAATTAAAGGAATTATATCTCCTTTGTTCAGCACTCCACTAAAGAAGAGATGCTTACTTACTGCATTACAAAGTCATGTTACAGGGTTCATTCCCTATTAAAGATTTGTGTACCCAGATTTGTCAACCTCAGTTTCAGCTTTCACTCTCATAGTGAATAGGTTTGGAAGTGCAAAGATCTGATCACTTTCTGCCTCCTACTGTAGTTACTCTACCCAAACATGAAAATGAGCAGGTTCACCTACTTCATCTGTAACATGCATATATTAATTTATTGTAAATTAACTTTCATTGTCTTCTATATTGAAGTACACTAATTGTTTTTAGCTATGAGCTAGCAAATGACATTCTTCCTGAATTTCGTTTCGGATTTGCTTGCTTGTTTTGTTCTGTTTTGAGACAGGATCTTGCTGTGTAGCCCTGGCTGGCCTGGAATCTTCTATGAGAAGTGGTTAATTATATTTATTAGAATAAGAGGCAAACGTGGTATTTTATGGTAGATTTCTATTAGTGAGGTAACAAATTATTACAAATTTAGTGACTTAGAATAATGTACATTTGTAATCATCTTATAGTTCTGGTGATCAAAAGCAGATATGGGGTTCACCTGTCAGTAGGACTGAGTTCCTTTTGAAGGCTCTGGAATGGGAATCTCTTTCTTATTCCAATTTTCGTATGTCTCTTGGGTTTTTTTGGTTTCATGATCCCATCCCTTCATCTCTGAAATCATCAAGGAAGGACTTTGCAGTGTCTCTCTGACTCTGATCTTCTTGCTCACAGTTAACTTTTCTGTACCTGCTTTCCTTGTATGAAGATTGCTGTGATTACATTGGTCCCATCAGGATTACACAGGATAATTCAGGATAATCCCTCACTGAAAGATCCTTAAGTTAGTCACATTTGCAGAGTTCCTTCTGGCATGTGTCTCAGTCTATTTTCAGATGCCCCAACTAAATATCACAGATTAATTTATAAGGAATATGCTTTTTGACTCATGATTCAGGTGGCTGTATGTGGCAAAGTCCTCCTGTTGGTGGGACTTTCTGCAAAGGTCCAAGACTGAGCAAGACATTGCTCTGAGGGGCAAATCATCCCCACCTACATCCTTTTTCTCTTATGAAGCCACAGTACTGTCAGATCAAGGTCTCCCCATACAGCCTCATTTAACCTTAATTACTTTCCACAGACCCTTCAAATACTACAACTGGATTATGTTTCTATCCTCTATATGCCTCATGATAGGAAGTCTATTTCTACATAAATTTTGGCAGACTCTCTATATAACATTTGTAAGGTGGCATTTATATCTTTGGGTATTTGAACTTGGACATCTTCTAAGGGCTACCTGTCTTCCACCTGCCACCCTACTATATAACTATACTTTGATGCGATGAATATCCACAGACAAAGCTAAAGCTCAGAGCCTGATGTCTTTGTCTTTCCTCTCAGCCTCAGGTCAGGTAGATTTCTTTTTTGACCATGGCTAGGGCTGAACATGTGCCAGAACAGCATCTACAGTAGGTTTGAGTCCTTGCCAGACTGAGCACTGTCCTCAGAGCTGTTGTTGCAAAGGCTACGAATAACAGAACAATGTTGATACGGAGCACTTACTTGATTGAAAACTCAAAATGGATTGAAAAACTCATATATTTTTTTCATTCTCTTGGTGTCTTAGTTTGGGTTTGCATTGCTGTGAAGAGACACCATAACCACAGCAGCTCCTATAAAGGACAATATTTAATTGGGGCTGGCTTATAGGTTCTGAGGTTCAGTCCATTATCATCATAGCCAGAAGCATGGTAGCATCCAGGCAGGCACAGTGCTGGAGAAGCTGAGAGTTCTGCATCTTGTTCCAAAGGTAAACAGGAGAAGACTGACTTCCACATGGCTAGGAGAAGGGTCTCCCACCCAAAGTGGCACACTTCCTCCGAAAAGGTCACACCACCTAATACTTCCACTCCCTGGGCCAAGCATATTCAAACTATCACACTTGGCATTAGTGATATGTATGTATGTATGTATGTATGTATGTATGTATGTATTTGGTTTTTATTGCCTTTCTTATTTCCCCTATTTCTTCTCCTCCTTTTCCTCTTTCTCCCTCTCTTCTTCTTTTTCTTAGAGTAGGGTCATGCTATTTAGCCCATGATGTCAAACTCACAGTCTAACTGCTCTAGCCTCTACAGTAGCTTGTGTGATGATTTGAGTGAGAATGGCTCCCATAGGCTCATGTTTAATGCTTGGTTCCCAGTTGGTAGACTGTTTGGGAAGGATTAGGAGGTATGGTCTTGCTGGAGGAGGTGTGTCACTGGGGTGGGCTTTTGAGGTTTCAGAAACCTCCACCAGGCTCAGTGTCTCTCCTTCTGCCTCCATCTTGCAGATAAGATGTAACTCTCAATGACTGTTCCAGCACCATGCCTGCCTGCTACAAACATGATGATCATGAACTAATCACCTGAAACTGTAAGCAAGCCCTTGAATTAAATTCTTTCTTTCTAAAGTTATCTTGGTAATGGTGTTTCTTCACAGCAATAATTTAGGAACTAAGGCAGCTGGGAAGGTGTGGTGCTTTGAGTTTTGCTCATTAGGATACATCTGAAATCGCTGAGATTCTCTAGCTCTGGAATTCTAAGAATTAAGACATACTGTCTGACAAGGGGGTTGGGTGGGTTTCCAAGGCTTAAAGGAGTTTTGAGACATGCAGTTTAGTTGAAGACACAGAACTTCTGGTACATCCTGATGACTTAGAGAGGATATGACAGAGTAAATAAAGGAAAGCAAATCACCGAATGATTTTTTTATGAAATGCCAAGACCTGTGCTGTCCTTGCACATATCACCTCATTCTTCACCCACCACGATGGTGAGGCAGAGATTACCACCCTTGTTTCATAGGTTCCATCTTTAGGTGGTAGTAGCAAACTCATAGTGACACACTTCCTCCAACAAGGTCACACCTATTCCAGCAAGGCCACACCTCCTAATAGTGCCACTCCCTGGGTCAAGCATATTCAAACCACCATACCAGGCATTAAGCTAGGATGCTTGATCAGTAAAGCACTGTCATCTGTTGACTGATACAAGAACACCAACACCAACAAGGCGTCTCTTTGCCCATTGCCAGGGAGTGACTGGGTAATTTATAATGAACAAAAATGTGTTGACTCATGATTCTGGAGGCTGATGAAGACCTTCTTGCTGAATCACAGAATGGCAGAAGGTGGATAGGATATGGGGAGAGGCCAAACTCATCCATCATTCTTTTGCTAATGGATTCATTCATTTGTGAGGGCGCAGATCTAATGAATTAATCATCTTAGCTGTGCTGACTCTTCTGAATGCAGCACTGATTATTGTTAGGTCTTACACCCAGGGCAAGTCTCACTCAGTACCTCTAGCTCCTTTCCCCACTTCTATCCTTCCCCCATCCTAAGTCTTTCCCTCCCTGGACTGGGCTTCCACATCCCTTCCCCCAGCCTGATCCCTGTATAACCCAGGCGTTTCGGCTGTACAGATCTCTTGGCCTCTGGGCTCAGGCCATCTCTCAGTCAGGAGCCCCTTTTTTGCTCTCCCTTCCCCTCTCTTTTTTCATAGTTCAGTTTAGTCTTCAGTCCACAATCAGCCTGGAGTTCTCTGTTATACCTGCAATAAAATCTCCCTCACTTTGAGAGTAGTCATGTACACCTCCTTTTATTCCCCCCTCCCCCCATTCAATTATGTTTTCTGACACTTGGGCTGTGAGGGTCACACGCATGCCATAACAACCTAGAATCTAAACATACCCAGAAACTAAAAATACTACACAGAAGTGAAGCCACAGTGCAGAATCTGCAAGGGCCCTTCCTTCAGCCTTAGTGAGATCAGCCAGCTGGCCAAGGACTGGTGCTAAGTTCATGGGGATTTCGGAACCATGCCTCTAATGTCGGCCCTCCTGGTGAGAGGAAGGACAGAGCAAGTTGATACTTTCCTGGCAGCAAACACATGCTTGAGGGAGTTTGGTAGAGAGGTCCTGGTGATGGGTGCTGTTACTTTCAAGCCTGCCTTCTCTGTATCCAGCTCTCTTGCATCATCAGTGATGCTGAGAACCTCTGACTTCCATGCCATGCGGTGGGCTGCTATGAGAGACACAGCTGACACTGGAGAGAAATGATGTCCCTTGAGTCCTAAGAGTTCTGCTACATATATGGCCAAAGGCTCATTTTAGCTTCTGCTATTTATTTCTTGCCATGGGGAGACACTTGGGTGGGGATGGGGCAAGGAGCCCATCTCAGTTGAGAAAGTCTGCGTCTGACAGCTGAAGGGTCCCAGAGCAGCCATTATTACTTTGCCTCTTTTCTCAGTCCACTCCAGTTGTCTCCTTTTGATTGTCACAGGCACCTGGAGGCTAAAAATACTCTACTGACCAAGTGCTCTTGATTTCAACTCAAGCTGAATATGACTGCAGTTCACAACATACAACATGCAGAGAGTATCTTTAAGTGGGTTTTCAAAACCTGTCAGGATCCATGTCAGGACCACACTAGCCTGTGGTCATTGTCTGTCTTGGCATCTTTTCTGGGTGATGAATTAGACCTTTGTAAGGTCACTCACTGTTCATTTGCCTTTTCCCTCCTGACACAGTGGTGGAGGGGGAGGTGAGGGCCCAGCTCTGGAGAGGAGTTGGGAAGGGGAGGTGGCCAGTCCATTTATAGTTCTGCTCTTTGGGACGGTGAAGGAGCTAAATAGCACCAAGGACAAGAAGCTTGGCTCAGTGTGAGTGAGCTACCCCGAGGGCCTGACAGACTCTGAGATGACAATAGGCAGCATGGAGAATGTGGAGGTCTTCACATCCGAGGGCAAAGGCAGAGGTCTGAAGGCCACAAAGGAATTCTGGGCTGCAGATGTCATCTTTGCTGAGAGGGCTTATTCTGCAGTGGTTTTTGACAGGTATGGCAAGCAGGGAGCCAGGCTCTCAAATTCTGGCTTCCAAAATCATCAGAAAAAGGAATGAAGTTCATGGGCTCCTTAATTTTTAATTTAAAAATTATTACATTTATTTATATGTGTGTGTGTGTGTGTGTATGGGTGTGTGTGTGTGTGTGTGTGTGTATGTGTGTGTACAGAACACACACATGCCCCTGTGTGGAACATACACTTGCCCCAGTGCATGTGGAGAGGCCAGAGGCTAGCTTTCAGGAGTCAGTTATCTCCTTCTACCCTGCAGGCTCCGGGGACTGAACTCAGGTAGTCAGCTTTGTTGGATAGATAGTACCTTTGCCAATGGAACCATCTTGCTGGTCCTTCAAATTGCACTTCTGATAGCTATCTGCTGGCATTTCTCTTCTGCAAGGGTTTGTTGTCTCTAACAAGGTTGAGCAGGAGCCTTTAGACATCTTTTACTAATCACAGAGAACTTGGCTGAGAGGCCGTGCTAGCTGTAGATAGGTAGGTATGGTACAGCAGGAAACATTTTCTTACAAAAAAAACCTCTTTTTAGTTCCTTAGTTCCTAAAAGCCTCAACAAACCCATTAGAATACAAAGCATGTATGAAAATTTAAGAAATTAGTTTTAACTATAAGTAATACACAAATCCATTTACTCTAATATTCTAAATATTAGAGTCTTACCCTTAGGGATAAGGTAGACAAATATTATGTCTATCTTAGGGATAACTTATGCTTTATTTAAAACCAACATTCTTGTATTATTTCATACATTGATTTGCACTAGGTAAGCTGGGTGGGTAGCCACAGTTTGTCTTTGTTGGTTTTATAGAATTGATACCATGCTTCAGGGGTCAGGTTAGAGTTTGCTTTTTTCCTTAAATAGTGTTTCTGATCCTATCCTAGTGAGGACAATGAGTCTATCTATAGGTAGTTCATTTGCTTTTATTACACTAAAATTGTGTGTGTGTGTATTCCTGTATGTAGGTGTGTACATGCCATTGTGTACATGTGGAAGTTAGAAAACAACTTTCTGGAGTCAGTTCTCTCCCTCCTTCATATGGGTCCTAGGATTGAACTCAGATCCTCAGCCTTGGGGGCAGACACCTTTACCTGCTCAGCCATCTTGTCAGTCCTGACATATTTTATAAATACTCAAAGATCAATTTATTCTAACTATGCATAGGCTTCCCATATTTATTCATAAACTACATGAGATATGAATTTTTACAGCTATAAATATTCCACCCTATAAATATATGTACATTTTATTTACTTTCCAATTAAGAGACATTTGATGGTTTCCTATTTCTCACAAAATCAAATATTCCTGGAATTAAAATGTGTTCCCACGTCCACAAGTACAGGTGCGACTAGAAAAGGGCTTCTGTTTTCAGCTTTACAATGGTCTGTCCTCATGTCCCTACAGCCTTGTTTACATGGAGCTTTCAAAATTTAAGAATAGTACTTAGTCCTTATTTAAAAACTCCCCTCTCCCAACCCAATACGTAGTGGTTATGTTGAAATGAGAGTATTTTCTGAGCCACAGTTGGAGTGACCCGTCTGGTTGTGTGGCTTGAATTAAGACAGCCTCCGATAAGCTTTGGGGTGAGTAGCTGCAGGATCAGCTGTCATGGGGGATGGGTGCCGCTTTTTAGAGATAACAGCATTTAAATTCTCCTCCCTCCACACCACACCTACAGAGACTTTCAGGAAAAAGGCAATTAACCAGGTCGAGCAGCTTCTTACCATCCAAGGAGTAATCAGGACCTCAAGTGACACTAATCATTTAATCATTTCAGAGGAGTCTGTGGTGTGCGTGTGTGTGTGTGTGTGTGTGTGTGTGCAGGTATGGCATAAGATTTAGAGTTAAAAATATAAAAGCACAGGCACACCCAGATGGCAGGTGCTCTCTTGGTCCTGCCATCGTGTACCTTGAAGTCTCCAGAGCCCATCGAGCCAGATTCTGTCTCCAGACTGTGGAGTTGAGTGAAGGTATCCAGTAAAATGTTCTCTTCTTTTCCTAAGACCAGTCACACTGTGGAGCCCCGGCTGTCTTGGAGCTCACAGGGATCCACCAACTCTGCCTATCCCTACTTAACTCTGGTTAAAGGTGTGCACCACCACGCCTGGCTCTCCATAGAGAATTTTTATTCTTAGCATGTTGAGCTCTTCCTTCTGGTTCATTTTATTCATTTTGCTACACAGCAGAGCTTTTACTAGATGTCTGTTTTCCCATTTAATAATTTGAACAACTTCTGTGTTTACCTTTGAGTCTGTGTGCATGTCATGTGTGAGTGTGAGCAGGGCGTGCCACCACTGGTGTGAGTGTGAGCATGGCATGCCACCGCTGGTGTGTGGAGCTCAGCAGACAACCTCAGAGTTTGATCCTCACCTTCTACCTGGTCTGAGGCAGGGTTTGTTGCTGTTGTTCCAAGACGGGTTTTCTCTGTGTAGCCCTGGCTATCTGTAAAGCAGGCTGGCCTTGGACTCACAAACCAGCCTTCGTCTGCCTCCCAGAGTTCTGGGATTGAAGAGTCACCAGCGTCTTTTGTTGGCAGTTGAGCGGTCTAGGAGCATCTGAGGACTCTCCTGTCTTCATCTCCTAGGAGATGCTAAATTTACAGATGTGTGCAATGGCATCTAACTTCATGTGGGGCCTGGGATTTGAACTCAAGTCGTCATATTCTGTTGGGCAAGCACTTTGGCAGCTCTTACTGTGCCCCTTTGTATAGGGGCACTTAAAACTTTGATACCTAAGTTTTAAGCATCTTTCTTGTTTGTTTAATTTTTATTTCTTGTGTTTATGTCTATGCACCTGTGGAGTGTGCACACATTTGTGTGGGTTGGAGGCCGGAGGCTTTAGTTGGGAGTCTCCCTTGGTTCTCTTTATGTTATTTTTTATTTTACCTTTTCTGTGCATTGGTGTTTTGCCTGCATGTGTGTCCGTGTGAGGGTGTCAGATCCTGGAGTTTCACACAGTTGTGAGCTGCTGTGTGGGTGCTGGGAACTGAGCCCAGATCCTCTGGAAGAGCAGTCAGGGCTCCTAAATGCCGAGCCTTCTCTCCAGCCCCTCTGTATGCTGTTTCTGAGATAGGATTTTTCAATGAACACAGAACTCACCTACTCAGCTAGACTGATTTCTAGGAAACCTCAGTGACTGTCCTGTCCCTGCCTCCCCAGTGCTGGGATTCGTTTCTGTGAGTGCTTGACATGTGTCCTGAGGTCCTCTTTCTTCTGATGAAGCACTTTATGGCTGATCCATCTTCCCAGTCCCATGATTATTTTGATTTAGTTCCTATTGCCATTGCCTTTGTTAATTTTTCATGTTCAGCAAATTAACTTAATTTTGTATCAAATAGAATGAGAAGATGAATAGATTTATTCTGAATAGTGACTTGGGCTTTGGCAAGGAGGGGCAATACATCTCCCTCCCCCGCCCCCCTCTGGTTGTCTGTCATCATCACCACAATCACCATCACCATCATCAGAATCACTGTCACCACCATCACCATCATCACTATCCCTGTCTTTACTATAAGTATCATAATCATCACACTAGGGAAGAACTCACGACTGAACCCCTGTGCTTATCACACTCAAATAGATTTTATAATTTGCTTTGTCTATTTAAGAGCTCCTGTAGCTCAGGCTAGCCTCAAACTCACCTTATATAGCTGAGGGTGGCCTTGAACTCTTGGTTCTCTTGACTCTACTTGTCAAGTGTTAGGATATAGGCATATGCCAGCGTATTTGGTTTATAATTTGCTTTTAAAGTCGTTACTGATTTTTCATTTTATTTTTTAAAATTTTAACTCATAAAAATGTTTAACACTACTAAAAGATGTCAGGCTCCAAAGTATTTTCTGGCAATACCTAGAATCTTTTAAATGCCTGACACTGAATTTTCACTGCTTTGGGTGGAAGGTCCTGGGTGCTGTGTAGAGGAAAAGAGCTGTGTTCCAGGCCCTCCCCTATCTGCTGAGGAAGACTCAGTAAGGATACTATACATGGAAGAAAACCGAACCACATGACCCAAAGCTTACACTTTGAAATTCTGTGGGTTGCAATGGGCTAAAGTGCAGCAGGAGGGGGATGCTACGCAGTACAATGGGGCTTATTCTGATTATTATTTTAATCTGATATCAAATGCAAGAAAGATACAGTGATGCTGACTATGGGCAGTGCTAAGACTCAAAATTTTCAATTCTCCTTTCCTATTTTTTTTTTTAGATAAGGTTTCACTATGTAGCCCATGTTGTCCTCCTGCCTCAGCTTCCTAAGTGCTTCACACCTAGCTCAGTTGTGTGTATGTGTGTGTGTGTATGTATGTGTGTATGTGTGTGTACATGTGTGTGTGTGTTGTGCACACGGGTGCATTTGCCCAGGAGGCCAGATGAGGGCTGCAGATTTCTCAGGAGTGGAGTTACAGATGGTTGTAAGCGGCCTGATGTGGCTGTTGGAGGAACAGTCAGTGCTCTAACTGCTGAGCCATCCCCTCAACCTCTCAATTATTCCCCCATAACAATAATAGTAATAGTAATAATAATAATTACAATAATAATTCAGTTTCAGATATCTTGACTTTAGAGTTAGTTTAGCTTCCGGGATCTTCACAGATTCTAAGCTAGAGAAATACCTGTACGTGGAAGACCAGCATCTGTGCGGATGTGAATATTTGATTTTTACTTCCACTGAGAGAGTCAATAGTTTTTGTTGCTTTCAAATGATTCTCAATATGGAAGGAGAAACCCATTGAGTTTATCTATCTCTTTCTGATAGATAGGAAAACTGAGATCTAAAGAGACAGTAATCTTCCCCAGGTCGTAGTCACAGGGCAAGTCTGGGTCTCCTCACTTCCCAAACAAGCAGACTCTAAGCACTGTCCACTTAAGCCTTCTTGTTCATGTCAGTGCAATTAATATTATTTAATGTTAGTAAAAGAAAGGGAAGTTCTGGAGATGTAGCCCAGACACCCGGCCTAACATGTGCAGAAAAGGATA